AATAGATAAGATCCCTAAAGTTGCAAAGACTAAAGTCTCAAACCCAAAGAGATATTCTTTATAAAAGTTAAGATTCGTCCACGCCCTCCTAAAACGCCTCGTTTAAACACCCCCACATGTCACTGTGTGGGAAGATTTGCATAACACCGCCAAAATGTTCATGCAAAGAAAGAAGGCGTAACTTTATTGTTGCTGCCTCATGTGCTATACTTGACAGTTCAACCCCAGTGTAAGATTGTAATTGTAGTACGGAACGGTACATTCTCCTGATATACTTGTATGTTATCAGCTAGCTTAGAAAACTACATTACCCATCATTCCTAGCACCAACGGCTTCTGCTCGCATCTTGTCCGGTGAAGATAGCGGGCGGCTGCAGAACCTAACTCAGTCTGAGGCTGCTGTATTTCGTAATTAAATCCATTAAACATTGATTGAAATAACTCAGACCACCGTGAACGATAAATACCGAGCACAATGGTAAGTGTAGATGCCTATTTTTTCTTGTTACAATCACTTATTTTAAGTAGTTCGACTGTCTGTTTTTCTCAGCTAACAGGCTAGTGTGATATATGTCGATTATAACAACACGACCAAGGTCATAAATCAAACTATATAGACATTTAGTGTTTGAACATAGTATCCAGTGGAAAAAAATAATCAGACTTTCATTATTCTCTTTCGGGTCAGAATAGAAATAACGCTGAATGAATGAATGAAGCTAAATGCTCATGGCTAGTTATTTGATGGAAGCTTTGTATAATTTCTGTTACATATCAATAATGTCTTTACATATAAATAATACGGTACATAATACATTTATAATGGCAAGCTCATGCATATTAAAATTGTTAAATGCGTTTCCGCTATTCATACATAAAAGCATGTGACATGTCCTCTGTGGATGACATTGGATGATTTGTGAGAATTAGGTCTAAACTTTTCTCCTGTTGTTCTTGTGCAGATCCGCTTTATCCTCATCCAGAATCGGGCAGGGAAGACCAGGCTGGCCAAGTGGTACATGCAGTTTGATGATGATGAGAAGCAGAAGCTGATTGAAGAGGTT